ATGCCAGCTCCAGACTTCAATTAAACTGATTGAAAGATTATGTCTTCATCATATGAATATCAGGCACAATCCTTCCCGTTAGGGGTTTAGTATCATACCATCATAACATATATGAGAAGAACATAACCCGTGTCATGCCAACAACTGGTTTTTAAATAAATGTGTTTAGTGCCGATGCAAAGACCCTATAAGTGAATCAATATTAACGCCAAAATATGCAATCTTTAATGACCTGACAACAGTATCGTAACTATATCCCTTCTTAATAAGTATATTTAAAGGTTTTGTTAGCTTCAGAGGTGAATACTGACATTTTTGTGCTTTATAAAGAATATTTCCATAAAAAATTGGATGTGAAATACCTGAACGTATAAGAAGTCTGCATGTTGAGCTATATTTACGAATGATGTCCTTATACCGATGATAAAATTTAGTAAATGTTTTGACTAGTTTGTGATATCGAAAACCCTGGTGTAATAATTTTTCAGTAATACGTAAATTTCTCTCGTTAAAATCTAAAACATTGTTACATACACGAGCGAATCGTACAAGTTGAGATATATAAACACCGTAAGATGGTGACAAGGGAACGTCACCATCTAAAAATGGATAATTAACGATAGGAAATGAAAAATCATCTCTTTTATCATATATTTTAGTATTAAGCTTTCCGTTAATGATATAGATATCAAGATCGAGGAAAGGGCAGTGGTCAATGTTAGTATAAGCTTTATTTAAAGTAAGTTCAACAGGATAAATTTCTTTAGTATACATACTGAAGTCGTCATTATTGAGAGCCAAAATATCATCCAAATATCTAAAAGTATTATTAAATTTGTGTATCAGATGTTGCTTCGATGGGTCTTTGTTGATTTTTGTCATAAATTGTAACTCATAGCAATACAAAAAAAGGTCCGCAATAAGTGGTGCACAGTTAGTTCCCATTGGAATTCCGATAACCTGACGATATACGGAATCTCCAAAGCGAACAAAAATGTTATCTAGTAAAAATTCAAGGGCATATATAGTATCAAAGCATGTCCAATAAACCTATTGAAAATTATATATACAATATATGTACATTGTCGAAAAATATAAAACTTTTTTGTGCAAGTTTTTGAAACCCCTGTTTCGAAGCGAGTACACATAAATTTTATATTTCCGACAATGTACATATATTGTTTTTATCCTGCAATTTCCACCGGCACTTAAATACCTAGCTGTTTAAATTAAAGTAATTGTCTCTGATTTTTCCAAAAAAAATCGACTTAGTTTAAACGCGGATCGCGAGGAGGATTCCAAAATGAATTGTTACGTAAAAAGAAATATTCACATTACCGCTTGTTCAACATGGAAGCGGGGTAACAGGATACTTTATTGTGTACCTGTTATTTGTACAATAGTTGGCCGATTGCAGGATAACAATTATTGCTTACCATGCATTCTTTGATTTAAAATTGTGTAAGTTTTTTCTCGGGTGTTCCTAAATTTGATCAGTTTATGTCTTGGATATGGAATAAACCGAAAGGTATTCAGGAAATTCACACAAAAAAACGGTTAGAGAATGAAAGATATTTTCTGATATGATCAATTCAAGCATCGTTTTGAAATTACACAACCGGAGAACATTGTACTTGTATACAACATGATATATGGTAAAAGCACATGCTCCCAGTCAGTCTGTAATTCATCATTCTCCTACACAAAATTTAATAATTGAATTTTAGATAAATGAGGTTGTTTTACCTAGAAGATAGTTTGCTAATTGTCTTGATTATCAGTCTGTAAATATAACAATCGTTATGACTATGCAAGAACAATCATTTGCGTACTTCAATCTAACTTTAAGTGAATTAAACATCTGTTGTGTTGTCTCCATTATCCATTGTCAACATACGGTCTCCATAACAGTTTGGTTATTAGTTGTGACTATTATTTTGTAAGAATATATCTTTCTACATAAAATGAAACACTGTGTATGTATGAATTTCTAGAGCTTTTCAATGTCTCATCATCTTACAGGTACTGTGGGTTTTTTTCTTTGTTTCAGAGGGATGAAATTATACACTGAAAACTAGAAAGATTCAGTTTCAATGAAAACTAATTACCTATGTACCTGTGTCCTTACCACCAAATAAACACATGAAGAACGTGCTCTGGTTTTTCTTTTTTCGCTTTAATGATGGCAACTTCACTGTTTCTGCTGTTTTAAAAACTAAGCATCCCTTTTTGTCAATTCTTTAACTGATTCTTGGACAAACCAGTATTGTTCTTGAAATTCATAATTGAACGATCAAATTTTTTTTTTTAAATGTAATTTTTAAACAATTGCTATAAGTAAGTAAAGTTTTTATTTAGTTTGATAATTTTCTAGTTGTTTACATTTATCGTAAATGACTTGCGCAGTTTTTCATTTATATTTCCTCAATGAAAAGAAAACTTGAAAATACCTTTTTTTCAGACAAAAATTATAAAAATGTTCGATAACCACCACAGTCTAGGACTATAAATTGTCCTATATACTATAGTGACCTGAAATTCTTGGGAACTAAGACCAATGCTATCATTTTTTTTCCATCCACTTAATGATGAAACATGGTTAAATTGAAAATAAAATCACACGAAAACGAAATTTATAAATACATTTCATCAAAGAATTATAAAGGAAAGCATTTGCATCAAAACACTATTAAACTCTTTAGTGTTATTTCCTATATAGCATGCACTATTTTTCCTCTTACGAAGAATCGATGGACGTCTGCAGTTTTGAAATCTCTAAAGGGAGGTATCAGTTTGTGTTGCAAACAATAACTTCGATTTATACAATATAATTTTTGCTTCATACAGAGTGGGTGTACGAAAAAAATATAACTTTATTAAAATAGTTTTCCAGAGTTTGCGTTTTCTATCAAGTTCAAAATTTTTGTTGATTACAGTGAAGCTGCTGTAACCATTGATTTTTAATATAAGGAACTTAAAGAATATGGAAGCAATCATGAATTGTTTGACCGTAACGGAATACTAGTATCTGTTCAACAAATGACCAAGGATATGTTCCAGTCGTAGTATATACAATTTTATTCTCTGCGATTATGACCTTGACCTACTTTTTACTCGTTATTAGCAATTATTATATCAGTGGAACTAGAACTGCTTATCCTTCCATAACACCTGAGTTAAATAGGTTACGTCATTTGACCTTGCAGACTTAAAACTTTACTCAGTAGTCGGCGTAAAAAATTTGTGCTCGAAACAGAAAATCCAGTATTTTGATTGGTTGATTTCTGAGTCTGAGTACGAAAATCATACTCGAAAGACGTAAGACTGTAAGCCCTAGTCTCGTGGAAAGCTGTCATACCACATCTCCTTTATTTATTTCCGTGATATTTGTATTGTTTAGTCTTAATTACTCTATGAACGGTTTTGTTGACTGTTGTTTGTCTTTTCGCCTTTCTTTCATGTTTGTCATGGTGTAATCTGTTCTTTGTTGGTGTTAAAAGTCCTTGGTATATATGTACTTCTTTAAGTTGAAGCCATCATTGATGACTTGATTTGTAACAAGCTGATGGTTTAAGTGGTTTCTCGTTCAGTTTTAATAATTTTTCATTTCAACTTTGTTTGCATATTTCTTTTAAAATGAATTCTTTATTATAATGGAAACAAATAACTACCATGACACCCTATTTATTGTGAATAAGTAAAGCACCCATTGATTAAGTTACACGGTACAAAAATGGGTTGGTTAGTTTTGTTATTTTTATCGACTCAAACGCCCCAGTTATTGATGTTTCATGACATTATTATTTTACATCTGAATGTAAGAAAACACTCTACCTATAACGGTTTAAAATTATAACAACCAATACCACAAGCATATGGTGTAATAAAAACACCCAACCTTCTAAAGAAACAAATACGAGTGCTTTGAAAGTACGAACAAAAGTGCGATTGTAACAAGATAAGCTTATTTAATCCGTCCTATCATTACTGCATATGAATACAAACATGTTTCCTGGTAGGAGGTTGAAAAGAAAATATGCATTATAGATTTGTCTAACACAAACATAATTACACAAATAGTAAGACGATTATGAGATAAAAGTTTTAATGAGATGACATAGATATGATGTGTAATATTTTTTTGTTATATCAACAGATGATAAATTTCAGGGAAACGTACAGAAAATTATAGATTTGATTTTACTTGAATCACGATCATCAAACAGTAAAAATCAAATGAGAGAGACCGAGAACGTTTGAATTTAATTAGTAGTTTTACCATAACAACGTTACTAGACAATATTTTATTGATTTTTCTTCTTTTTTTTTTGTATAAAAATATTAATTTCTGAATTTTTGGAAAAGTCAAGACCTTTGCTAGTATTAAAAATCTGTGTTCCATTATAAATGTGTTAGGTTGTCACAAGCTTTTCAGAATCGTCTCTTTCACATTTTCTTTCAATAAATTCTTTCAAAAACCTTGATTAGAAAATTGATAAGATAATCAAACGCACGATAGCATTCATATATTTTTTCAGTTTACATAACATGTTATATTTTAATTAATGGAGTATCCAAAAGAAGACGATCTCGGTTTATGTCAATATAGATGAAAACAGTCCATATATCAATAATTTTCTTTTTAAAATCATTTATTTACATGTATCTTACAGATCTTCAACTAAAAAAAATGTCAATATTTCAATTCAAAATTAATTGTATAGGGTTGCTCAAATCACTTGCGATACATTGGTTTGTGACCTTTTGCATGCATTGAAGGTATGATCATTGATGACAAAAACAAAACCAACGTTCATCATGTCTATTTTACAGGCGTTATGTGGGTATCTTTTGATCACCCAATTTAATAAATCATACTGTTGCTAAAGAACCGCTTGCGAAAAGAACATTTGCGTCTGTGGGGATGGAATTTCTGCGTTTGTGGCAACACGTTTGAAGAAGAATTATAAATACAAATGAAAATAAGAAAAAGTACTCACCAACTTTGTAAATATCTTTTCCGCAGGTTACATGAACAATAAGAAATGCTGTAATATAAGTAATGAACCACATAACGTTTACTGTTTTAAATTGTGTATGGGCTGAAGATAATTCCCCAGCAGTATCAGCCTGGTGTTATCACTATACTCAGCTTCATAACTCCATATATTAAACAATAACCCTCTAACTAACCCATCATATACTATTAATCGTCAGTTAAATAAATGTCAATATTTTTCTTAATTGTTTATTATTCAGTAACATCCGCCGAATTCGATATTGTAATACTCCAAAATCGAAAAAACCTGTTCACTTTGAGCATTTGTACAAAAAGCAAACAATATTTCAACAACTTGTAACACACTATCCCATGTTTAGTTTTTAGATTAATTACATCTCCATTTAATCGTTATTAAGAGTTATCAATTAATCACGGTGTAGGAATATTATTAAGATGATAATAATATAGAAATGTATTTTGTTGTGATCCGATAGACCTCCGTAACAGTGAATGAGGATAAGGGATCGATATAAAGCGATCAATATACTCTCTTTCTCTGCTTATCTTCTAAAACTTTTATACTGTTATGTCAACAGTTAAAATGTCTGTTAGTCAAATTTACAGAATTTATCTGACTTTTTTTCTGTGCATTTTTATCGTAAAAATCAACATCCGCAATGTTACTAAGAACTAGACCGGAAAATTTAATTATTTTAATATTGCAAGTTATAGATAAGATATGAAATAAAGAAAATTGAGAACAAATTTTGATACATTTCTTTTTTTTTTTAAGGATTTCAAAGACATTGCACGTGGACATTGTTCGTTAAATAAACGGAATACCCATATGATGCCATTATTGAAGAACTACATGCCACATGGACCGTTTGTAGAATTTCTTTCTGTTATGTTTTGAACTACAAATTTAATTTCTAATTTTCTGAATCTTTCAATATAATATATTCAACTGTACTAATCAGCTCTTAGTTTAGAATTGCTTTGAACAATTTTGATTTGAATACTTGCATCCAGAGGCTTTTTTTAAAGTTTGATGCCCGCTGTGTATTTAGTAAGATTAGTCTGTGAAAAATCCAGTCGAACACACGTGAATTTGACTTCATGGCAAACAAAAGTATTGACAAACTGAAAGAGAATATTGCTTAGTGAAGAACAAGGATTAACTAATTGTAAACGTCAATCACTGGCTACCTAAATCAATGCCAGGATAATTTAGTTGAACAATATTATACATTTGTTTCGGAGGCATCAGAAACAATCTGCATATTCACTCCTTCCAATAAGTTATTATATAACACACAGAGAAATCATTAGAACTTGTTTTGTTTTCATTATTTTAAAAGCATTGGTTTTCCAGTTTGATGAGTACGATAACTGAAATCTTTCTAGAGCCTACATCCACGTTCCTGAATCAAATAAATCCAATTCGCCATAGTTTGATCTTCCTCAATATTAAGAAACGGATTTTCTCTCTTTTCCATCCGATTTTGCAGATTTCCAAATGTTCGTTTAAGAGCAGTCCTCTTAAAATAGATATATGCATAAAATTAAGTACTAGTATAGTTATGACATGGATATATATTTCATCGGAAAAAAATCAATTTATAAAAAGTCTTTAAGATTGGTTTTCTGGAAGTTAAGATTCAAAATCTTTTCAAAATCTTCGTAAATTTGAATTAACTGAAATTCAATGATAGCGTAAAAATGTCATTTGTTATATCATTAGGACTTTATTACTGCGATAATTGACTAATAAATAGTCTTATTATTTCTATATTATTGTGTCTATAAAACATCTAATTGAGTAAATCAACTGATCATATCTAGACAATAATAAGAAAATCCCAGAACAATACAGTTTTTGGATATTTTTTTCATTTTTTTCTTGAATGAAAATAGTTTGATAGCTTAAGGGAGATACCATTTGATTTTTATGGGGGGGGCTAGGATGAAATTTGAAAAAAATAGGCAGGACAGGAGTTTTGAGTAAAAAAAAAAGGCAGGATGAGAAACTTGCAAAAAAAAAGTCAGGATGACAATTTAGGTAACAAAAAGTCAGGATAAACTTTAAAAAAAATGCAGGACCGAATAGAGTGAAAAATAAAAAGGCAGGACAGAGATTACAACTAAAAAAAATGCAGGACAAAATTTTTCATCATCTATGATTCCAAGGGGGCAATCAAAAATCATAAGTCAAAGAAAAACAAACAACACCAGGGTAAAAAAAACAAATCAGGAAAAGACAAACAACAATCGAAGAAACGAGGACAATATAGTGGACACGATAAGCGGAACATTTTCGTGGTCATCAACAGTTCATAAAAGCGTCTGGATGAGATGACATCTACTTTACCATTTTGACTCCTTGGTTTAATAGCTATATGATAATCAGCAACCCTCGATCAAGGAAATCATGATTGGAAACAAAGGCCCTGAAGTATCATATCAACTGGGAGGTTTTTATTACACATGCAGGTGCTCTTGGAATGTGTATACATAGAAACGGAAAGTTCAGAATGGGAATATTGAAATCACCTCTTTTGTCGTAAAGTCTGATAATAAACTTAGTACCCTCAATAAAAATTTAGAGATGTAAATCAAGATCAGAAGCAAAATTAACTATATCTGTAGTTTCCTTTATTTCAATTTCAATGGGATAGATGCGATCAAAAGTGTCACCTGCAAACTTTGCAATATTCAGTGAAAAGACATCATCTTTATATTAAGCGATACATAAAGTGAAGACATACAGCTTTTTTTTTTTAATTTGTTTTCAAAGCTTCTGTATGTCGGTCTCTTACGAATAAAGGAAATTTACATTTACTAAATGTTATCATCGGTACAAGGACATCATTCGTAAATATAAATCAACATGCAGACATCTTATACGATCAGGTATTTTACATCCAATCTTTTATGGTAATATTCTATACAAAGCACAAAAATGTCGGCACTCACCTCAAAAACTAACCAAACCTTTAAACAGACTGATGCAGAAGGGATATAGTTACGATACTGTTGTCAGGTCATTGAAAATGGCATATTTTGGTATTAATTTTGATTCACTCATAGGGTCTTTGCAACGGAAATAAACACATTTATTCTGAAATCAGTTGTTGGCATGATACGGGTTAAGTTCTTCTCATATATTTTATGATGGTATGATACTAAACCCATAACGGGAGGGATTGTGCTTGATTTTCATATGATGAAGACATAATCATTCAATCAGTTTATTTGAGGTCTGGAGCTGGCATGTCGAAAACTGCTAGTAGTCCTTTGTTAATCTATGTATCATTGTCATTTTGCTTAGTTTCTTTTGTTACCTATTTTGACATCGGACTCGAACTTCTTTTAAACTGAGTTTTACTGTACGTATTGCTGTGTGTTTGTTTATTTTATATTGGCTAGAAGTATAGGGGAGGGTTGAGATCTTACAAAACATGTTTAACCCCGCCGCATTTTTGCGCCTGTCCCTCTGGCCTTTGTTAGTCTTGTATGTTTTTTAATTTCAGTTCATTTATGTTTTGGAGTTTAGTGTGACGTCCATTTTCACTGAACTAGTACGCATTTATATTAAGGGGCCAGCTGAAGCCTGCCTCTGGGTGCGGGATTTTCTCGCTGTGTTGAAGACCCATTGGTGGCCTTCGGTTGTTTTCTGCTCTTTGGTCGGGATGTTGTCTCTTTGACACATTCCCTATTTCCATTCTCAATTTTAGGATATGAGGGACATACGTCAATGGGACAGTAACCCAACAACACAAAAATACTACTATTGCCATAAGTTTCACTTAATTCTCACAAATTGACCTAAACGCATATTTTTTAAGTCCATGTTTATGTTTATACCCATATCTGCAATAACACATTTGCCCTTTTTTTTGAAGATGTTCAAACTTTAAGGAACAGAGTCGTAAATGTTATACGTGTATTTAATTATCATCATTGCTCCGATCTCCATCCAGTGATATACATAATTATGCACCTCCAAACTAATCACAGCTTTAATCATTCCGAGATGCTTCTGTATCTTACCAAGAGTATGTTAACTCAATTCAAATGTTTCTGGTACTTTGATGTCATTGAATATAAAGATAGGGGAAGGGGAACTTTGTATCACTTTTTATGCCCCACCTACGATAGTAGAGGGACATTATGTTTTTCAGTCTGTGCGTCCGTTCGTTCGTTCGTTCGTTCGTTCGTTCGTCCGTCCGTCCGTCCGTTCGTCCGTCTGTCCCGCTTCAGGTTAAAGTTTTTGGTCAAGGTAGTTTTTGATGAAGTTGAAGTCAAATCAACTTGAAACTTAGTACACATGTTCCCTCTATTTCAGAGCCAAATTGATAGTGCGAGTGGAGCATCCGTGAACTATGGACACATTCTTGAATCGGTATACAATATTTATTGCTTGTTTGATTGTGTTAATTTTTTTTCTCTTATGTTGTTTTTTTTTTTAATATTATTTGTTTTCAATTGTTTTTTTTTTTTTTTTGTCGTGTGTCTGTTTGATTTTTGTAAGAATTTGGTATGACTGTTTGATTAAGGACAAAATTCAATCTTTTTTATTAACCTGTATGTGTACCTTGACATTTAGTATTGACCAACAGTGACCATACCACTTGTGTGATATATATATTGTTCTGACAAATTGGTACCATTAATTCATCATCTAGCTAATGAAACGGTAAATATTTGAAACAAGAGACACATTTAGCATTGATCTGGCATTTTTGGTAGATCTATCATCTAACCTTTATAGTTATCGATATTGTGTAATGAATTAACAACGTTATGCATATTGTAACATGTGTAGTAAGTGTGTGACAAATAATCGAATTTAGAAATCATTCTGCAATTCGAGCAGTCGTAAAAAGCATTTTGACAAAGTCTGGTGACTATTTATCTAAATTGAGTTACATAATAGTATTAAAACAGTATATAGAAATTGCAAATCAAGCTAGACCATGTTATCGTTCATGTTAATCATGTCAATGTGCGTATAAAAATAGGAAGTCCACCATTACTTAACAAATTGAAGAAAAAACAGACGAAGCCCACTAGAAACCTGTGAGAAATAAGACACTTAATATTAATTTGGGCGCATAAAATAATACATTGTATATACGCACTATATAATCATTTATGTGCACACTATATTATTTTGTTTTCGCACAATATATTTTTTATGCCCCACCTACGATAGTAGAGGGGCATTATGTTTTTCGGTCTGTGAGTCCGTCCGTCCGTCCGTCCGTCCGTCCGTCCGTTCGTCCGTCTGCCCCGCTTCAGGTTAAAGTTTTTGGTCAAGGTAGTTTTTGATGAAGTTGAAGTCCAATCAACTTGCAACTTAGTACACATGTTCCCTATGATATGATCTTTCTAATTTTAATGCCAAATTAGAGTTTTGACCCCAATTTTACGGTCCACTAAACATAGAAAATGATAGTGCGAGTGGG